CGTACTGTCCTCACTATACCAACATGAGTGTGTTCAGCATGTTTTGTCCTCACTCGTACGCTACCCAAGAAGGGGTCACCCATCATAAAATTGCTCCAAGCCAAACACGTTTAATTGTAGAGTTTCTAACGATGGACTTCCGAAAAAGAAGGTGCACATTGTTGATATGAATAGTACATGTCAAATCTTTTAAACTTTCTTGATCTGGGTATTACAACTGAACAATGCTTTACAGGGAAATTTCACAGAATGCACACAAAAATTTGAAATGGATGATCTGGATTCAAACATGGAGGAAAGAAAACATAGATACACGCACATGAATTTTTCAATTCAAAATTCTGTACAAAATCTGACAACATTTTCTGTACCTAAGGAATGATTCTATCTTATTTTATAACAAGCCAGCGGCTTTTAACACGTTTAATCACTCGTTCTCCCATGAGACAATTATATAAACTAAAAATTTTTCCCCTAAATGTAACCATATTCTCCAAAAATTTAATATTCACATTTTCTTATGGGGGCTCAAAGAGGAGCTTACACTACCACGCATTTCAACATGTCTAGAGAATAATTGCAATTCTCGTCGTGATGGTGACTTGTAAGCCGATCCCAGGATTGGATCGCTGTTCTTTAAAAAGAAACACTTTAAACCTACTATTTTTTTAAACGTGTCAATGGGCCCACATCCCAAATGATGATTCTCCTTTTCTAGATTCATTTATTGATCAAGTTGTATTATCTGGTAAGTATCAAAGTGTCATCATATATTCGAACTCAGTAACCACGTCTTTGATCAAATTTGTTGAGTATGTAGCAGAAGTTAAAAGGCGAACTGAATTCTCCATAAATAATCATCCACACATTGATCACAACACTGATATGATTTAAGGATATTCATATCAAAGCAAATATATAAACATTAAAAGCCGATCCTTTCCATCACACCACAGATCAACACGAGCAAATTTTTACAAGATGATCAGAACAGTCATACTCAAACAAACCCAGTAACTAATTAGCATAAACTCATAATTCCATGGAAGGAAGTAAAGACACTATTAACATATTCATCTCTCTTCAACGGTGTTTGCTCCTAGTCTCCCCACTGTAAAGCCTGTGTTGTATTCAAATCATAAACAGTTAAATCATCTTCTAAAACTAAGCATATAGCCTTCAACTTTCACAGAGAAAAGGAGAAAATACGTACGTACCAGTCGTAAACGGTAGGAGAGTTGGGCTGTGGCCTGTCAAAGTAATCAGCCCCAATACTCTTTGTAGCAAGGTTGCTACCAGGATGAAACACACTCCTCCACACGTTATCTTTACGCGCTGCCGTTGGCGACGGAGTCATAGGCGTCGTCGGCGTCCCTGGGCTGGCCGGCATCGACATAGACCTTTTGTACTTGCTGCTACTCTCTCCTCCAATATCTTATCAACAAAAATATACATACAAACATCACTTGCCAGCATTTATAGCCATGGGTGTGATATATAATTAAGAAAGAAACAAAAGAGACAGTCTAAACCTTTGATGTTCAACGGTTTGGTGAAAGCTTTCTTAAGGTGTTTAAGGCCGCGTTCAGGCTGAGGCCCGGCAACGACGTCATCCCAGAGTTGATCTAGCAAAACCATTGTTGCTTTCCTTTTTTCCTCTTCTAATCGATTGATTCAGTAAAGTTTACTCTGCTTAGAATATATAGAGAGAGGGTTTAGGGAAGTAAAATATCTACTACAACTACAGTCCTATAGAGTCGAGAAAGTTCGATTTCAGTAATTCCCAACTACACTGTTTAAAAGGACTAGAGAAAGAGCGAATATTATTGATAGTTGTTCGACGTAATTATTCACATGACAGTTTCTTATTAACGTATGAGACAATAAAAAATTATTTAGATCAACATGTTTGTTTCGAATTAGAATGAGATTTTAATTCAAGTCAAAGTTAAATGATCAATATTAACTATATCTTTCATGAATCCCACAATTTTTCAACCATATATTTTAAAATTTTCTATCACAATCTACTAAAAATCTAATTTTAATCTCCATCAAACACCCGCTAAATATATCAAATAATAAATTATCACATGTATATCACGTAAAGCGAATATTGATGATGTTCCATATCAGTAGTATTATTTATCTGTATTATGTACCGTATCGAGTGTATTAAAAGATGGCAAGAGTGGTATTTGGAAAAATGATAGTGGAAATAAAGAAAATCGGAGGGGATAAGGATGAAGACTAGGTAGACGTGGGACCTATGATATAACATCTTATGAGTAGATGCAGATGTATTGCGTACAAGTGTCCCGTTTCCGACTGCATTTTTTGTCATATTCTTTGTAATAGAGTAAATTCCTCCAAGCTCCGCAACCTTTTTTAAGTTTAACAGTTATATCCCACATCTTTGAATTTGTGACATCCATATTTAAAGTTGAATCCCCATTCCGTATAAGCGAAAATGGATGTGCTGCATTTACATAATAAGTTTATATACACATAATGTAATGAGATGTGATTGAGGCATAATTTATTAAACCAAATAAAAAAAATTCACTCTCCTTTTGACACCATATCCATATGTAAATCATTATTTAACTTCTTATATACAATTAACATTATTCAATGGAAAAATATTCATTTAGACCTTAAGCTCTTGTTTAATTCCCATTTTTGGGGAATAATAAATTTTGTAATAGTATTTCTTAAATAATGTATTGTTAAAAAGTAAGATTTTTATTTTTTATTTTTTTTTTGAATTTATATGCAAAATGATTACATTGGGATAATGTGTAATTTAAAATAAGTTTAAGGAAAAATGTGTTTTTCTTTTTAAAGTGTGCATACGACATATGCACATAATTTGTGAATAAAGATAAATTTTATTTATTCCAAAACCAAGCGATAATTGTTCAACTAAAATTAAGTTCATGTTTGGTATGGATGAACAATTAATTTTAACAACAAATTTCATCAAATTTTATTAAAATTTACTAAATTTTTATTTTAATTTACATCAAATAGGGGCAAAATGTTGATTTTTATTAGATAATTTACATTTTCATATAGACATTATACGTATGTTGTGTGTATAGACGATTTTTATGAGATAAGGATAAGGATAATACTGTTCGCACATGTCAAATATGAGTCCTACAAATAAAATATTAGAGAGCTTATACACACTTGTGATAAGGTGATGACCCTTATAGAAATAAACTGTAATAAATTGGGGGAGGGTGGGGTTTTGCCCTGTTTAACAATCATTATTTGAAAAAAAGTGAAATTTCAAATAGTAAATTTTTAGAGAATGTGTGACAAAAAGGTCAAAAAATCGGTTTACGGTCAAGATATTTTATCATGTAAGCGTGTAGTAAAAAATAAGTATGTGGAAAGAAATGAGTTTTGAAATAATAGTTGTCAAACGGGGACTTAGTTTGTTAGACATACATTTGTATCTTTCACGTCAAAGTCAATTCATATGAATAGTCACTCTTATCTTTGACTCTGGAATAATATTACCTTTCAATGGTACTTGAGTATCAGTTTATTTACATTTTATATGTTCAATTAAATGAGTTATGTTACTTTATATTTATGTAAACCTTTTTTTTTTTTTTTGATATCC